TTATCCTTTTCAACCAGTTCATTTGCGACAATTGTTGCAATCATAATTTTAACTTCATCCACCATTTTGTCCAGTTGTCTAACTAAGAATAGCCATTCAATGATGCTCAGAACATTCTTTGCTCCGCCCACTAAGCCACTCAGAATTCTAACTTAGATGTTCTGCATTACTGAACACAGCCCTGGTCTTGCCTTGGCTTTACTGTACCACTTATTTAGATGGTGAAATATACTCACTGCTCTTGGAAGAACTTAACACCGACCCAATATGGAAAAGAGATCCAACAGAGGAACAAAAGATGGCAATTCTAGATGCTTTGTACCAAATCTAGGGAAGGGGATTTTGCATGGTGACATTAGGAAAGGAAACATTTTATTAGACAGGCACGACAATCAACAGGCCTACTTCATTGATTTTGCATGGATTAGTTGCCATAACTTTTTCATGAATTAGTGAGTATCCAAGGTTTTGTCTTGCCAGAATAACAATGCATTTTCTATTAACGGGAAAGTGGAGGATATCATTTTTCTGCATCCTACTAACAGGACTCGCAGATTTTACTAATTACCACTATTCCTTATCCTGCTTGAAGGACTATTTAGGTCTTAGTTTACCCAACTACCGCTTGCTAAATTTAAATAACTTTGCTTTATTTTGAAAACATTTTTAATTTCTATTTATTTTTAATAAAATGCAAATACTGATACTATTATAAAATTTAAACAAAATAAAGCACATTTATTTATTTATTTTTTTAAAACAAGAAGAAACCAGGAAAACAAATTTTATTAATTTTTTAAAATTATGGTTCCGTATATAAAAAAACAAAAATGAATTGAGCAAATAAAAAGTAAATTGTTAAAAACTGTTTACATTTTTTTTCCTTCAAATTTTTTAAAGCAGTAGCTGCATTAAGCAAAATAACACATTTTCAATGTAAAATGAGAAGAAACTGGGAAAATTACTTTTAAAAATTAAAATTAACAAAGTACGGAATGTCCAGTTGCATAAACAAGTTCTTTGGAAGAAAGGAAGAAATTATTTTGAACACCATAATTATACAAATGATTTTTCATTCTTTTGACATAGATAGTCCATATAAAATATGGTGTTCAAAATAATTTCTTCCAGTTGTTGATCCACACACAACTGCATTTTTACCACAGTTCTTGCAGAACCAACTTGCTTTCTGCTGTAGGGTCATTCCATGTGAAATCAACCAATGGCCTGAACCTTCAAATTTCATATCTCAGAATAAGATAATTTTTTGTATGTTGGACGTACTATAGAGGTTTATGTTAAAAATCTGAAATTTTACATTTTTTACAATCTGTATTCAAGTTACTGATGTTCAAAATTTCGAAAATTGTGCAATTTCTGCACCATTTTGAAATCTTAAAATGGCTCTATCTTCAAAACTATTTGAGTTACTGCTATTCTCTTCAGAATTTTATAAGCTTAATATGATGTGCAACTTGACTATATTATGAAACATTAATTATTTTCATCTGATTACTAACAACACATGTCTCAATTAGCTGCTTAAAAATGTGTGTATATATAAATATAAAAATTTTTTTGTGTTATTAATTTTGAATACATATTATTCCAAAACTTTCTCATTGGTGCCTTTACTAAATTGGTGGAGGCCACATTGGCCATACCCTACTAATGGCTCTGTCTCCCACCACTAGAGTTCTAGCTAGTTTATTCAGCTTCTTTTATCTATGCTAACTTCTACTACTGACGTCATTGCTTTTGTCTCATCATACAATTTGCAAGATTGCTGCTTGTATTGGACTAAATGTATCTTATTATAACTATCACAAAGTTATACTCTCATTCTAAATCATTAACTCATTCTAAATGACTTCGAAATGTAAAATTATCATATGTCGGTATAACAGATTCTGAATACATTTTAACAGAAAATAACAATCCATTTCATTGATTTCAATTAATTAATTTTATCACAATCTGATGCAGCATCTATTTGAATAATTGTATTGGTTACTTTATCCTTTTCAACCAGTTCATTTGCGACAATTGTTGCAATCATAATTTTAACTTCATCCACCATTTTGTCCAGTTGTCTAACTAAGAATAGCCATTCAATGATGCTCAGAACATTCTTTGCTCCGCCCACTAAGCCACTCAGAATTCTAACTTAGATGTTCTGCATTACTGAACACAGCCCTGGTCTTGCCTTGGCTTTACTGTACCACTTATTTAGATGGTGAAATATACTCACTGCTCTTGGAAGAACTTAACACCGACCCAATATGGAAAAGAGATCCAACAGAGGAACAAAAGATGGCAATTCTAGATGCTTTGTACCAAATCTAGGGAAGGGGATTTTGCATGGTGACATTAGGAAAGGAAACATTTTATTAGACAGGCACGACAATCAACAGGCCTACTTCATTGATTTTGCATGGATTAGTTGCCATAACTTTTTCATGAATTAGTGAGTATCCAAGGTTTTGTCTTGCCAGAATAACAATGCATTTTCTATTAACGGGAAAGTGGAGGATATCATTTTTCTGCATCCTACTAACAGGACTCGCAGATTTTACTAATTACCACTATTCCTTATCCTGCTTGAAGGACTATTTAGGTCTTAGTTTACCCAACTACCGCTTGCTAAATTTAAATAACTTTGCTTTATTTTGAAAACATTTTTAATTTCTATTTATTTTTAATAAAATGCAAATACTGATACTATTATAAAATTTAAACAAAATAAAGCACATTTATTTATTTATTTTTTTAAAACAAGAAGAAACCAGGAAAACAAATTTTATTAATTTTTTAAAATTATGGTTCCGTATATAAAAAAACAAAAATGAATTGAGCAAATAAAAAGTAAATTGTTAAAAACTGTTTACATTTTTTTTCCTTCAAATTTTTTAAAGCAGTAGCTGCATTAAGCAAAATAACACATTTTCAATGTAAAATGAGAAGAAACTGGGAAAATTACTTTTAAAAATTAAAATTAACAAAGTACGGAATGTCCAGTTGCATAAACAAGTTCTTTGGAAGAAAGGAAGAAATTATTTTGAACACCATAATTATACAAATGATTTTTCATTCTTTTGACATAGATAGTCCATATAAAATATGGTGTTCAAAATAATTTCTTCCAGTTGTTGATCCACACACAACTGCATTTTTACCACAGTTCTTGCAGAACCAACTTGCTTTCTGCTGTAGGGTCATTCCATGTGAAATCAACCAATGGCCTGAACCTTCAAATTTCATATCTCAGAATAAGATAATTTTTTGTATGTTGGACGTACTATAGAGGTTTATGTTAAAAATCTGAAATTTTACATTTTTTACAATCTGTATTCAAGTTACTGATGTTCAAAATTTCGAAAATTGTGCAATTTCTGCACCATTTTGAAATCTTAAAATGGCTCTATCTTCAAAACTATTTGAGTTACTGCTATTCTCTTCAGAATTTTATAAGCTTAATATGATGTGCAACTTGACTATATTATGAAACATTAATTATTTTCATCTGATTACTAACAACACATGTCTCAATTAGCTGCTTAAAAATGTGTGTATATATAAATATAGTGTAATTTTCTATTTTTTTTTCTGATTCCTGGTTTTGTTATAAAATATTTAAAAACATTACTTAGTAAATATTATTTTTATCTCAAAATATAGTATGTAGGAGATGGGTTTTTTTTTTAGTTGTTTTAGGTATGTGCATTTAAATTTTTGATGGTTTTATGCAATTTTTAATCTCCTACTTCTTAGTGCACCAGTATTTTTATGATAAAAAATAATGTTTGTTTTTTTTTTAAATTAAATTTTTGTAATTTTATCAAATATATTAGACAAAAAATTTATCAAAAAATAATTATTCATCTTCCATATGAAATGTGTTAAAAAATTAAGTGTGGGAAATTATTTTTTTAGATATTTTCTTAGTTTTTATGCTATTTTTCATGCAAATATAGTAGATTTTGTTAATTTTTTTAATCTCCCACAAGTTTGTCCCAGATATGTATTGGAAAAATATTAAACATTTTTTGTTAAAATATAGTGAGTAGGAGACAAGTTTCTCTTTATATTTTTTGCAATTTTTAAGGTTAGGGCATGTAGAATTTGCGTGAATTTTTTTTATCTCCCACAAATTTTATCCTAATATTAGAGGCAGTCAAATGAAAATGAGACAGATGGGAAAAAAATAAGTAAACTGTTTATTATTTCATAAGTAATTGCCATAACTATTAATACATTTATCCCACTGTGAGACAAGATGGTCAATGCTTCATAGAAAAATGTTTGCGATTGCCCACAGGACCATGATTGTACCCAGGTGTGCACCTTTTTGTCCAAAGCAAATTGACGGCCACAAATGTCTTTCTTTGGGGCTCCAAAAATATGGAAATCACATGGGGAAAAATCAAGAGTGTATGGACTACGCTGCAGAAGTTTCCAGCAAAACTTCTGCAGCATAGTCAAACAACCTTGATAACATGTGGGCGGGCATTATCCTGCAACAGAATGATGCTGTCTGTCAACATTCCTGGATGTTTGGATTTGATGGCATGCTTCAATTTTTGCAAAGTTTCTATGTACCACTGCAAAATTGTGTCAAGGCAGCTGTCAAGTCCTGGATTCGAAAAAAGTCAGAAGAATTTTTCAGTGATGAAATGAAAAAACTTGTTATACGTTGGGAGAAATGTGTTAGCCTTAACGATGACTATGTTGAAAATAAACATATGATTTTGAAGCTTAAGAATTGTACTTTAATGTACTTTTTGCCCAATCTTGATATTTGTTTTTGTTCGTGTTCTACAAGCATGTGTGCATTACTTTTCAGCCTACCCTTGTATTTAAAAATATATAGATCAGAAGCATTTTGTAATTGAAAAAATACATTTTATTTTCCATAATTTCAATATAGGCAAGCTAATAATTTTTTTTTTAAATTTTACTACAAAAATTGAAAACAGCAGAAAATTAAATCTAATACTTACAGCTGTTTGATATTGGAACTGCTGTTGAGGCACATAGACTGGATGTGGATAAATTACAGAATATGCAGTTTGCTGTAAAACAACAGAATGATTAAAACTGATCATATTTTAAATTAGAATGTAAAGTAAAAATTGTTGCATTTAGAAGTTGATTTAATAATTTAAACCTGAGGAGGTGAAAGCTGACATAGATTTTCTGGTGTAGTAAAGAAGGCCATGCCATTCTGATACGTGTATGGCATTCCATTATGATAAAATATGGTCCCATTTGAAGCACTTTGAGTTGGATCTAATAGTAATTAAAATAAGTTTAGTTTATTAATTGATTTAAGTAGATCATATTTAACCAAACCTTAAATTAAAAAATATATATATATATGAATGTCAATTAATGCAGGTTTTATTAATCAGTTTGATTTAAATTGAATTGTGAAAACTGAAAGTAGTATCTTACCCGCACACACATTGAAATCTAATTTGGATAACAACATCATTGATGGTTCATGTCATGACATCTGATGGCACGAGGCAATCTCTGCACCACTAACTTCTGAATTGGTAGTCTTGTTCTTGATTGGTCAGGCTGTCAACTTTCTTTAACACAGGAAGTATATGAAGTGACCATCTGTCTCTCTCTAATCTCTAATCTAATCTGTGGTTGGCTCTTGCTTAGTAGCTTGTTCAGTAACCGAGTTATCATACAGCAACTGAAGAAATATGGCATTTAAAATGTTGTTCATAAACCAAATTAAATTGTTTGAAAAGTGTGGTGTTTTGAAACCCAATGTTTGACTGTGTGTGTGTGTATATATATATATCCATATGTACTGTACTTATTCCTCGATTCACGTAGTNCACAAGCTGTTAAAAAGTAAGAACAGGCTTCGCATGTACTGTACAGTACATTATGCAAGAAGATACTTTATAAGCCTATATATAAATATACAATTAACTACGTGAATCGAGGAATAAGTACAGTACATATGGATATATATATATACACACACACACAGTCAAACATTGGGTTTCAAAACACCACACTTTTCAAACAATTTAATTTGGTTTATGAACAACATTTTAAATGCCATATTTCTTCAGTTGCTGTATGATAACTCGGTTACTGAACAAGCTACTAAGCAAGAGCCAACCACAGATTAGATTAGAGATTAGAGAGAGACAGATGGTCACTTCATATACTTCCTGTGTTAAAGAAAGTTGACAGCCTGACCAATCAAGAACAAGACTACCAATTCAGAAGTTAGTGGTGCAGAGATTGCCTCGTGCCATCAGATGTCATGACATGAACCATCAATGATGTTGTTATCCAAATTAGATTTCAATGTGTGTGCGGGTAAGATACTACTTTCAGTTTTCACAATTCAATTTAAATCAAACTGATTAATAAAACCTGCATTAATTGACATTCATATAATATAAATGACCTCCACATATCCTTGTGTAAAGATATTTAACACATATTAAATAACAAAAATTTATTAATATAATATTATATATTATAATATTAATACATAATGTTTATTAATACTAGGTAGCAATTAATTAAAATTAATAATAATAAAATAATAACTAAAACTCTGGTTTTTACACCAAAACTGAAACTAAAATTAAAAATAAAATCAAAATTAATTAATTTTAATTTAAATCAAAGCAATTAAAACATAATATTTTGGAAAGTGTGGATAAAGTACTTGTCTGTCTTGATTAATCAATCAAGACAAACAATTTATATTGTTATATTTCATCCAGACAGAGTCAAGTCTTTATTTATAGCACTTTTTTTGTAAAGTGATGGTTTTGGTTTTGGTTAATGGTGACAAAACATTTTGCTTTCAATATATAATGAAATATCCATTAACAGACACTCCCAAATAGCAGAACCTCTACTTAATGGACATTTTTACAATCCCCAGACTCTTTAAACAGGACATCTATAATATTTACCTTTAAATACACAACACTTTAAATAATGGATGCTGTGGTCCATAACCTACCTTATGAACTACCTTATGACCTAACCTTCAATATTCTGAAAAAATTAATTACGAAATAGTTTAAAACTAAAAGAACCAGTTCAAATACTCTTTCAGAAGATGAATTTTGACATTTGGCATTAAATAAAGATTGGCTTAGAATAAAAATTGGAGAGAAGGGCAGGTTTTAAAATGCCTAACAATATTCTTTATCTATTAGATAAGATTAATCTGGTTAAGTTGTCAATCACCATTTAGCATCATATATATTAATGTTGTTAAACCTCTGTCTTATTGTTGAAATTAAGCTTATGGTATCAAGAAACCATAAACTTTTCCAGTTATTCATTCATTCCATAAGAACCATAGTATAGTACAAATGAAAAAGAAACAGTTTTAAGGTTAGGACAACAGCATTTATTTGGTAAAAGCTCAAAGACTGTGTTATGAAGACAATTTGATGACCACTTAACAGCTTTGTAGTTAGCTAAAGTAATTTTTAATGAATCATTTATTGAAAAAGGCAAAAATTCTTTAAAAATTACACCTACTCAATAATTACAAAGCAGACAAATCTCTATATTGATTTTTATTCGTTGCTTAGGTCATAAATGATGCTATAAATGTAAGAATACCAAATACCTTTCTTATCCATTGAAGTGGCTATCAAACTGCCTTTGTAACTTGGCATTCAAACTCTTGTTGCCTAAACAGACTTTTGCCCACCATTCTGTTCATAATGACATTTTCATTTTTCTTTTTTGTAAGTTATTTCTGAAGGTCATTTTTGATGAATTAATAATTAATCAACATTTACATTTATGTTTTGTTGTAATTTTTATATTCCACTTAATTAAAATATCCCTATAGAATCTGTCTGCTATTTAGAATTCAATTAAAATGTAATTTTTACAGCTGAAAAAATAAATAATACACTGTATATATATTTTAATTATATATGCTATGTATACTTTTCTTTTTTTTGGTACTTTCACATTCCTAACACAATTTGATGTTTTTGTAATCCATTGTATTCTTCATTTTATAATAACTTTGTTAGAATACAATATGGCCACTAGCATGTACTGTACTTCTAAATAGCGGACAAACTTCTCGGTCCCAACAATGTCTGTTATTGGGAAATTATACTGTTTATATAAAATGGATATAGATATAGATAATATTATATTATATTGCATTTGTAGGCATTTTTAAGCATGAAATACAGCTAAAAAAATATAAAAAATTAAAGGCTTTGTTTTGAGGTTGGAAACAAATTAATTCATTGTATATTGTTTCTTATGGGAAAATTTGTTTTGGTTTAAGAACAAATTGGTTTTCAAACAATTTTTAGGAACAAATTAAGTTCAAAAGCCAAGGTTTGACTGTAATAATAATAGTATAATAATAATAATGAGCAATTATTTTAATTTGACATCATCACAATGCTGCATTGCAATTTTTAACTTATTTAATTTAAAATTTATGCTCTCCATCAAATTAATAATGTCTTGCCCTGTACATCATACTTTTCCTTTAACAACAGAGTTGTATAAGTCATCTATCTAACTCCTTTCAGGGGAACATTTTTGAATTAAAATGATGTGGCTTCCAGTTTGCATTGGAAGTTCATATATAGTTAATCAGTTAGTTTATATATAAATAGTTCAAAATATAACTGTTTTATGGTTATTAAATAATCTCAAAACAGTTATCTCTCAGTATGTTAAAATTATGATTTCATTTGAACATCTTAGGTATTTTAAAATATTTAAAATAAATTTATAAATTATTTTACTTACCATAAACTCTTGTAAATGGCTGAAATAAATAAATATATGATAATTATTTTTATTATTAATATATTTTTAATTAAATCAGAATTAGTACATTTTTATTTAATATTAACTTTATTTTCTTTGGCAATAATTCTGCCAAAGAGAATGAAGTTAAAATTTTATGCATTAATTTCATTAAATAAATAATAGAAAAAATTGTTAATAAATCTATTTTATGTATTATTTGTTGACTATATTTCTACCATAAAAAAAAACACATTTAATTTAATACTTCATTAATTTACCTTAATCAATTTAGTATAAAATAAAAATGATGAAAGTATGTAATAATTTGCATTTATAAATTTAGAATTAATTAAAATGGAATATTACAGCTTATTTTAAATATCAAATTAATAGCCAAATTCCTTATCAAGCTATTTAAGGCTAATTAATCATTAAATAGTTTGATTAGAGATAAGTGGTTAGTAATCTCTTATTAAATTTTAAAATCTCAATTGTTTATTGTGATATTGTCACAATATCAGGATGCAATTTTTAATCATATTTTAATTTTAAAGTTAATCAGGGCTTGCAGCTTATATGTTGAAAAAAAACCATAGTAACCGGCAATGATTAGAGCATTATCATTATCGGTTACAGGCACACCTCGACTTACGTCGTTTCGAGTTACGTCGTTCCCGATTATACATTGCTTGTTAAAAAAGTATATGGAAAAATAAAAATCAAGTTTAAGTCATTTTATTCGACTTTACGTCTGTCCGCCACAAGTATTGAAGTCGTAATATCACTAGAAAAACGTTTAAAGCACATAAAATCATATTAAAATATATACAAGTATGTACTGTATTTACAGTACATGCATTCGTAAATTTAGATTACTTTTTTTGTACTATATTAAAAACTAAAATTTATTTGTTTGTAAGCTTAAAATAGATTTTTATTAACTATATATTATTAAAAATGCATTAATAAATAAAATACAGAACCGGGAATGTTAATTTATGGTTTAGCCTAGTGATAAGTAGATTCGGAGACAAGTAAGTTCGACTTACGTCGTTTTTTGACTTACGTCGTTCTCCTGGAACCAATTACCGACGTAAGGCGAGGTATACCTGTACTTATGAGCCAGTTTCCAGTATATATTATGAGCATTATATATACTAGAATATGAGATAGGACCAGAGTTAGCATAACTGGCAATGCATCCACATGATAAGCAGCAGTTGTGAGTTCGAATCCTGCCCCTGGATGATTCTTTTCATGCCCCTGGATTCTTTTCATGCCCCTGGATGCCTTCTGGATGATTCTGGCAGTTTTTAGGAATTGGAAAATTAAATGGATTTTGTACAATTAACAAATAAGATTCAAGATAAAGCACATTATATTGTTAAGAACTGGAGAGAATCTTCAACACATTAAAATTTTTGAGTTGTTTCTTGAGGTAAAAAATTGACTTTTTTTACTCCTTTTCATTTGCTGAATAAAATTCTCTGAAATATATTCTCTTACTTTGATATTTTATACATTAAGAAAGCAAGTTATTTTAACTTAATGATATTAGCATAATTCAGTAAACAAAAGCTAGCTTACTGAAACATCTTGAATAAAAATGTTATAACAATAATATCATAAAGTACTCAGCAAATCACTATACATATAACTAACACCTTATTCTTGCCGAGAAATATAATTTATTTGAAACAGACAAACGTTTTCAGCCTGATTCACAGGCCATCCTCAGGTTTAGAACACATTTGAATTAAAAGATTCCATCAATGGAATACAAAATTCAAAATTAAATAAGATAAAATTAAAATAAATTAAAGTATTAAATAACCAACAGAGTAACATAAAACAAAAATAAAAAATATAAAAATGTAAAAAATGTATATAGAAGTATTAATAAATGCAATTACTAACACATGCAATAAAACTACTATTTTGATTGGTTAGAGCTCTTATTAAACTTCTTAACTATAAACTTCCATGCAGAGGGAAGACTTTCTGCATCTCTCGCATTTAAACAGTCTTCTTGTATTCTACTCCTATAAATCTGCAACTTTTCTGCTGTCAACACCAAAGATAGAGAAGATAAAGGTTTTATGATGGTTGCCTCATTCCATTTGACTACAGCTCCTGTTGCTTGTGCAATTTGGGATAAAATTGTTGCATTAGACCCCTTTCTGATATTATAACTATGTTCCTTGATTCTAAGCCCTAAACTCCTGGTGGTTACTCCAATATAGTCTTTTTTAACGCCCAATTGCATGTTCTCATATGGAATTCTATAAACCCCTGCTTTCTCTTCTGACATTATATCATCCTTATCATTCCTGAGGACTTTGTATAAATTAGGGGCCCTTTTTATAAGCATCCTCGAACCTTTTCTGTGAGCAATCTCTTTCATGACTCTATTCATACTTTCATTATATGTAAATTTTACGATTCTATTGGGAGGACTTTTAAAAGACTTCCTAACCATTCCCAGAATTGCACTTTTTTGGTAACCTAGGGTCTTGGCTACGTTTATTATTCTATTTATTTCTTTCCTCCTGTCTTGTACTCTTTCACAATATAAAAATGCCCTTCTTATTAAAGCTCTGAAAGCTGCAATTTTATATTTATACGGATCCTTGGATTGGGAGGGAATATACAATGGGCTGTGGGATGGTTTAATAAAAACGCTAGTGGACAGGTGGCCTTTTTTGAATGTAATATCGATGTCGAGAAAATGCAGATTCAAGGAACTCTTCTGCTCCAATCTTAAAGTAAGGCCATCATTGTTATCATTGATCTTATCCAAAAAATCCTTAATTCTGCTGTTATTTCTCCATAATATAAGTAGGTCATCAACGTATCTGCTAAAATACATGATATCCTCCTTAAAACCATGAAAAATTCTTCTTTCCAG